GGAAGGAAGGAAGGAAGGAAGGAAGGAAGGAAGGAAGGAAGGACTGTGGGGTCCTTGGTGCTCTCTGAGGTTGGTGGTTTTCTTGCAGGCGTTTCATGACCCAACTTGGCAACATCATCAGTGCTAGGAGGGAGGGAGGTTTGCAGAGAGAAGGAAGGAAGGAAGGAAGGACGGACGGACTATGGGGTCCTTGGTGCTTTCTGAACATTGTGGTTTTCTTGCAGACGTTTCATGACCCAGCTAGGTAACGTCATCCATGCTAGAAGGGTTTGCAGGAAGGAAGACGAAGGGGAGGATGATTGTGGGGTCCTTGATGCTCTATTAGTTGTTTGGGAGGGGTTTTTTTGGCAGATGTTCTATTACCCAACTAGCCAACATCATCAGTGCTAGAAGAGAGTTGGGTTTGCAGAGTGGAGTGGGGGAGGATTGGTTTTTTCTGAGCTTGGTGGTTTTCTTGGAGACGTTTCATGACCCCAATAGGGAACATTATCAGTGCTGGAAGGGAGTGGGGTTTAGGAGGAGGAGGAGGACTGTGAGCTCCTTGGTGCTCTCTGAACCTGGTTATTTTCTTGCAGACGTTTCATGACCCGCTAGGCAACGTCATCAGCGCTAAAAGGGAGAGGAGTTTGTGGAGAGGAGGAGAAAAATATGGAGATACGGAGAGAAATGCTTAAAATAAAGAGAACAAAGGCCTTACCCCCCCCCACCCCCACCCCCCAAAAATCTAGGAATCCAAGCAGAAGCAGAAAAAAAGGCAGCTCTTAAAAGGATGTTCAGCTGAAGATGGAATTAGGAGATTAAAAATAAAAATAAATTAAAGAATGAGGACTAGAAACTTGAAACGTGTGTTCTGCCACTTTCAGCAGCCCCCCCTGAAAATGGAGAGGAAATTTTTTCCACATGTAGTCCTCGGCTTATAACCAGTTGCTTTAGCGGCAGTTCGAAGTCCCGAAACTCCACCCAAACTCCACCCCACCCCAGGGACATACAACTCAGATTTGAGGTTTGGATGTCACCTCCCACCCCGCCCCGTGGTCACAATGACCACGTTTTGGGTGTTCCGGAACCAGCCCGCAGTCCTCTGGCCGCAACTTACGATATTTTTTCCTCAGAAACCTGCGTTTGCTTCCAGTTCGCTGCCAAAACTGACTCGTAACAAACAATGGATAACGAGTGCAGCATTCGCTTTACGATTGAATGCAAAAAAAAAGATAAAGTCATAAAAATGGATCATCGTTCGTGCTGACTCCCTTCGTGACCATAATTGCCATATGCTCTCCATGGTGGTCATAACTTGAGGACTGTTTGTAAGGTGTTTACAGCAATCCTCTGCGCTCTGCCCTGTCTCTCTTCTCCCTGTCTCTCCTCTTCTTTCTCTCTGTCTCTCTTTGTTTGCCTCCTCTCTTTTGCCTCTGTTTCTCTCTTTCTCTCTCTCTTTGTGTGTCTCTTCTTTTTCTGTCTCTCTGTCTCTTTCTCTCTCTTTCTCTTTTCTCTCTGTCTCTTTCTCTCTCTGTGTCTCTCTTCTGTCTTCTCTCTCTATGTGTCTCTTTCTCTTTTCTCTCTCTGTCTCTTTCTCTCTTTTCTCTCTCTGTCTCTTCTC